CTATTTACTTGTGACCACGCTGTGTAATACCTAGTAAGCGCGGGAAGGAGAAACATGAAAAATTATTAAAATTATTAAAAGATGAAAGCGGCTCATCTGTAAAATTATTAAAACATGAAAGCGGCTCACCTGTACAATTATTAAAACATGAACGTGGGTCACCTGTACAATTATTAAAACATGAAAGTGGCTCACCTGTACAATTATTAAAACATTAAAGCGGCTCACCTGTACAATTATTAAAACATTAAAGCGGCTCACCTGTACAATTATTAAAACATTAAAGTGGCTCACCTGTACAATTATTAAAACATTGAAGCGGCTCACCTGTACAATTATTAAGCGAAACATATATATCTTGAAACTAGATGAGTAAACGAAGAATAGTATTGAGGAAGAGATTGCTCGTAAGCAATGTTATATACTGCTTTAATTATTAAAGGAAAGAGTGTATTTTAACTCGTTCACATGAAAGTATAGCTTATGAACCTAACTAGTTAAACGAAAGTTTAATCCGTACCAAATTTTATGGTCTACAAAATATGGTATCGACATCTTCACACCGTTCTAGCTAAATCAATGTACAAACTTCACGCATGAAGTAATAATGTCAGTTGTTTCGAAATTTCGAAATATTTAATAGTTTGTTTTAATTATTTTTGACAAACGTAGATGCATAGCCTCAATATAGGAACGTAGATGCATAGCCTCAATACTAATTAATGTGCAAATACTTTTTACAAGCAACTCGGTGTCCTACAAAGTAATGTAACTGAAGGATTTAAAACACACAGATTTCAAAGTTATGGGTCATTAGCTTTTTATTCTTACAGGTTGCCTTGAAACCTCTCTCTTTAAAATATGTTTTTCAGATCTGTAGATCTACGTTTTGAAGCAATAATTTTGTTTCTCTGTTATTATAAGCAAAGTTACACAACTGGATATTTATTCTGCCAACCTGTGGTATCAAACTCAGGTTATTAGCATTTTAAGCCCTAAGACCTTGCCACTTATCCACAGTAGGGAACTAACGCAAGAAAGAAATTTTAACTTGTATGGTTATAACTTATTTAATAGTGAAACAATTTTCACATTCCTTGTCCAGATTTAATTTTAAAACGTGTAAAAATTAACATTTCATACAACTTAATACGTTCTCAGCCATATTTCTTGACCTGTGGATCTACTGTCTGGAGTAAGTGAAGAAGAAAGGTATGACAGAAACAGTTTCTTTAGCTCTGGTCTGACGTTTATATTTATCTATCAAAAATTTTAACAAGCTCGCCATTTCAGCCGTGAAGGCATTATAATGTGATGGTCAATTCCAGATTTCGTTGGTAAAAGAGTAGCCCAAAAGTTGGCGGTGAATGGCGTTGGATAACTGCCTTCCCTCACTTTTAAATTTGGGACGGCTAGCGCATATAGCCCTCAAGTAGCTTTGCACGAAATTCAACAAACAAAACTTAAGGTTTTTATTTAAGGTAAACTGATATACATTTAAGTACAATGTGAATATACAGACACACAAAACCTAATTTCCGTGTTACGTATTATCTTTTCATCGCTATGCAATAAATTTAGTTTTATATTCAAAGGTCGGGTTCATTTATTATCTAAAATTCACTAAATAAACATTACCCGAGCTACATAGCTTCCATCTTACCTTCGCAATGTCTAAACCAATTTCTCTGCGATGTTTTTCGTTAGTCTTCAATATTTAAATATTTCTATCTTTTCTTTTGGTCGAATTTCTACCTCATGCTTTAGACTAAAATTTTAAATGGATGTACTTTACGCAAAACAAAACCCTTGTAATTAACAAACTACATAGACAACGACTCACATTCAAAAACCAAAAACCCATTTACAAAACACGCCGCTAGGTTGTTAGTAAGGGGTAGATATCCTGTTTTTAATATTATGATTAACATACGTAAAATCAATTTAATAAAAAAAATCAAATTTTCTTAATTGGCGTTAGCGCTCCAAGGTGTGGGTTTATTATGAAGTTGACAATAAGGAGCCAGGATTTAAGTATGAGTAGTGTTATAGATAATAAATAAAAGTCCTATGCGTTATCAAATAATGTTATTTCCCCTCCCTACTTCTAAAGTCTGCTTTTGGTTCCGTTCGCAGTGTCGGAAATAATGCACGCATAGTGATTTATCACTTACCTTACAAATAGTATAAAAAATATTGTCTTACCTAATTGTCGGAATGTCAAAACTCATTTTGTGATTTTCTTTGTGACACTTTAGCTGTCGTTTAGATACCACCATAAAGAGTCAAGAAATCAAGTAAAACTGTACTTTTTATCTTATCTTCCCATCTTATAAGAAAAAGACATGGCCAAAGTGTATGGCTAAGTTTGATGTATTTTTAAAAGTTTCTAATTTAAATAACTTCTTTGAAAAACTAGTATTAGTTTATTTACTCAAATAGGTAATCATTGTCTCACATATCAACTATCATTCGTTTTCTGCAGCCACTTGCGGAAAGATTGCTGTTCCTAATAAACCATAAGGAAGAATAAGACATCTATAACATAGTATGGTAGCCTATATCTAGAACATAATCTCTTCTGATAATAGTTCTTCGCCATCCGATCTAAAGAACCAGTACGTAACAATGCCAAACTTTAGGAAGCAGGCCGAGTGTGCCCTAGTGGTTAGTATGCTGAACTGTGAAGTGGAAGGTTCATGGTTCGCAATTCTTTGCAACAAAATCGTACTCCGCAATTGGGATGCGTTATGAGTGTGACGGTCAAATTCCACTGTTTGATTAGAGTAGCCGAAGAGTTGGCGGTTAATGCTGTTGACTAACTGTCTATTCCATCGGTTCATAATTAGAAACAGCTAATGCAGATAGACCTTGCATAGCTTAGCAAGAACATTCGAAACAAATTTAATGGTGTTGCAAGTATATATTACTATCTAAAGAAGAAGAACTAAGCTCTCAGACTTCTGTAGATTTCTGTAGTTCAGTTTTATCTCTTACCTAATTCCCAGTTATACTTTGCAATTGTTTCTGTTAATTTCTTTCTCATATTTATGTCGTTGTTACTCGATCATAGAAATCAGTTAGATAAACACGTTTTAAATATAATAATTCTTCGACGCTGGCTTTCAACTCTTACATATTACTGAGTCAGAAACTTGGAAATCATCCCTTCAGAAATTAAAAGTATGGTGTTTTGAGTTTTTTTGTTGTTTTTTTTTACTCCCCACAGTAAATATATGTTTATATAATATTTCAAGCTGTTTAAAAAGATTCTATTATTAATATACTTAATTGGTGGAAAATAATAACGGTAGATTTAAACTTTCTTCACTTAAAACTCAAAATATTCATTACAAGTTAAAAAGAAGAACTAAGAAAATCATTGGAAGATCTCACTTTCTGTATTTTACAAACGCTAGAATAGTTCAAGAAAATTTGGTTTTCTGATTTGAAACCTAAAATAATCACCAGAGGTTTGGGCGTTCTGCATTTAAAAATATTAAATAATCACTAAAGCTTCGACTTTCTACATTCAATTCAAGAGGTCCAAACTTCCTGAAACCGGAGTTCTAAAGAGTCCTAAAAACGTTGAATAATCACTAGACATTTTGACTTTGAAAAACACAAGAAAAGAATAATTAAAAACTGAAACTTCATTTCAAAACTTTCAAATTAGTAACTAGACGGTAATAAGTCTTCGGACTTATAACACAAAAATCCGCGGTTTGATTCCCCACAGTGGACACAGCAGATAGCCCAATGTGGCTCTTTTCTCTAAAACAACCAAACCAAATACTAGAAGGTGAATCTTTTGACGTAATGGGAAGCAATAAAATATTTGATACTTTACGTTTAATATTTGTGAACTAATAAACAAAAAAATTAAACTTAATATGTCAGACATTTTGACTTTCTGCATTTAAAACAATCACTACTATAAAAACAAACCAAAAATAAAAATAAAACAATCACTACTTTACAAACACAACTAAAATAAGCACTAAAACAATCAGGACTTCAAACACAAAACAAAAATAAACGCTAAAATAATCACTAAGTTGTTGTTTTATTAGTCAGTGCTTGAAGTGGGGAAGGAGGAAGCGGGATTGTCTGTGAGCATTTTAAAGCTGAGTACTATATTTCTTGTTTTTACAGGTATTCTTTACATATTATTATAAAAGTAACTAAAATGTAAAAATTTAAAACTTCTTAGATTAGATTAGGTAAGATAATGAAATAATAATAATAAAAATTATTCGATAAGTATACTCGCGAACAGCTCGTGTTGTACGTAATTCGATATGGAACTTGAGCTGCTCATTCGCCCAGTGATTCACAACTTGTGTGGCGGGACAATTAGTTAGACACAGTTCAAAGGCAATAAAATAATAATATTAAGTTTAAACACATGTATACTGTTACGAGTTATAGTATGGAAAGTGGTGGTAACCTTGTGATCACTAACTGGGTTACACCGACCAGCCCTTAACGTGTACTAGATTGTCTCCTTCTTGTCTCGCTCTTACACGACATTTTAAGATAAAAATATAGTTTATTTTCCCAGTCCCTTACTGCCGTAAATATATATTGCGTTGTTTATTGAACCTTTTCCTTACAATCTACTAAAAGGTAGCGGGGGGGGGGCCTTATATGAAGTGGGATGGCATCCCACCCTCACTTCAAACATTGTTTTTAGTGCAAAGTGAGCTATTTGCACTGTACTCACTGGGGGAATCGAACCCCTCATTCTAGCGTTGTAAGTCCGTAACCTTATCGCTGACCCATCGGGAGAGTTATAATCATTAAGATATTTGACTTGGTAAAAAAAAAACAACTTAAAAACTGCTTCTAAGTTTAAGTGTATTAAAATTATAACAAGGAATTTTGATTTCCTTAATTTCGTAATATTAAAATTTTGAAAATAAAGTACGCAAGTTACCAACAAGATAAATCGAATATTTGATTTTAAATTAACCTTGATAAAGGGTCTGTTGTAGCCCAGTTATCACAGATAATTTTTTTTGACAGACTTACTTTTTCCTAATATCTTGTGTCTTTGATAAGGTAAAATCACTTTTACAAAGTAATGTCAATCACCCTTTCAATTGAGTGTTAGGCAAATGAGGCAGTTTATGATCTGTCATGTGATCTAAAATTCAAATGATTGATTGGTCTTCCAACTATATATATATATATTGGTTTAACACAGTCCCATCTCATTTAACACTTCGAAGTGGATCACAGTGATTAAAGGATTCCAAATTGTACATAAACAATGAACAGACCTCAAATATACGTTTAGATATTCTATTCATTTGAAGAGTCATTAGAGTAGAGGAAGCTGGTCAAGCATAGGTCATTTCTGATTGGCAACAAGTGACTCAAATCATTCTTAGCAGAATGTGAAACCGCCTTCATATTAATGATACAGTTGTTCAAGTATCTTGACAGTGCAGATCTTTTATTAAGGTGACTGCTAGCTACCAGTTCTGATTCGCCGCATTTGCGGGATATCTGTACCGATACTGAATCAAATGTTCGCAACCATATCTAGATGCTGTACCAGCATACAGACTGTTAGAAACAAAGTTCATAAAACCAAACGCTCTGTGATGTGTATTCTGCTCACACAAAGCCAAACAACTCTCCTGCAATAGAGGCAAAATATGTATAAAGTGGACAAACGACACAATACACTTTCTTGGTGAGTAGCATTTCAACGTGGAGACAAATAACAGATCTATACTCATTTGGAGAGAATCTGGACTCAAATCCAGTTCACACTTCCGTACAAGAACATGACGCATATCGCGATGGTGGAAATACAGTGTGGGCTGGTAGAGGTATTGATGAATGTAGCAACTCAGCATCCTGTGATATGATATTATTAATGCCAAGAATTTTAGAGACTACATTTTATGATCTTTACTGTTGCCATATGCCGATGTAGTTGGCCTAACTTTAGTATAATGAATGATAAGTCCGCCCCTACTGTGCTAAACTAGTCGAAACATATATATTATAAAAAAGTGTAAACCGAATGTAGAGAGATACAGGTCTTTCAGAGGAGTGATTGAAAATGTTTCAGAACTTGAGAAACATTGATTTTAAGCATGCTGTCTCGATGCTTAGATGCCCTTACTGTTCTTGCTTATAATGTTACATATTCAAATGAAATATCATGAACTGTAAAGCTCTAAAGACAACGCCAAATGTTAACTTACGTGCATAGGGGAATGACCAATAATTTGTACATCAGATCAAACTACGAATCATGAGGTACCAAATATAAACATTACCCGAAGTGGTGATTGGCTTTATTTTACACTAGTTTTTCGTCTTGTTGAGGTAACCTAAATTACCAAGAACTCCAAGTTATTATTATGTTTTTCTCTTGTAAGTCCAAATTGGCAGTCTTTTTTTTTGGCATTTTGTTCTACGTGGTTCAAATAAAGTCCACCATTTTAGTAACTAAAAGAAGACTAAGCACTTTTAGTTTTATTATAGCAAAGTTAAAGGTTTATTTCTAGGAGTTAGATACATCTACGTGCAGATAGCTCATGAGTAATTTTGGGCGAAACTTCCACAAACAAAATAAGTCTAATACTTCTTGTCCCCCCCCCTCCCATTCAACTTTCAGACTCGTTAAATGTTATAATATATTGTTGC